TCCACAGCCAGTTCCAATGAAAAGTAAGAAGTATAAATTAACAGACCACTTTCACTGGCATATCGCCTTCGTAGCGTATCATATCATTAATAAAACTCCTGATAAGTTCGGAGTAATAATGATATTTAACGTGGCGATACGTGGTTTTGTAATTGGCGTTAGCAGCGGAAACGGCAACCGATGTTTATGCGCTTATTAAAAAAATAAGTCATGGCCAATTTCGTTGGGAAATTTTACTTAAACTTACAGGCTAAAACGAGGGAAGGGGGGGGGGGGCTTAATGAGGTGCAGCTATTGCTCCACAAAGTTCTACGTAAGGCGGACCACGCACTGTCGGGCCAAACCGCGGGAAAATGATAACATGAACGTGTTTGGGTTAAAACTGGCGTTTGTTTCATTTAATTCACAGATTTTATAATATTTGAAAAACTTCAACAAAACAATAAAATTATAACTAATAATACCGTGGGTAAACAATTACTCTGCGAGCTACATACTCTGCCCAGCAGTGAATTACACCGAAATATCTAGTAAACAGTTAAGGTCATTCGTCAGTAGCATTACCAGAAGCAGGACTGGTCATAGTAATACTTCACTTAATTATGTAGGTCAGGTCAGTAGGCACAAAACATTGCTTGACATTTAGGATATGAGTTACACTTTGAAGGTTATATATCACATATAACACAGTAGGTTTCTAAATTTGTAAAAACCTTATTACACATAGTACCTTTTTGCAAAAAACACTATGGTTTCAATGCTGCGTTCTGTGAAACTATTACGCGTTACAACTTTTTTTTTGTCGCTAAATACTACAACGTTGTTTTTTTTTATTTACAGATAGAAATAAAAATATGATAAACAGTAGATTAATATAAAATTAAATGACAATATACACTAAGGTGGCCCAAAAAAACGAATTTTTTTTCGTGTCTCTTGTGAAAATATGTTAGTTTATTATGTTTTAAGAGCCCCTTCAAAAACTCAGCTCAAAAAATTTTTTAAAAGGTCGCTCATGATTTTTAAAAATTTCCAAAATCGTCAAAAATTGAATTTTAAAAGAAAATTTTTTTCTCGTTATTTTATCATTTTCTAGGTTGAAAAAAATTTCGATTCTGAACATTTGAAATCGATATTTTAATTTCTAAAGATCACTCATAATTATTTTAACTTTAAAAGTAGTGTACCTAAAATGTTTTCGAGCGACCTCTAAGAATAAATATCAACGAACTAATAATTTTTTTATTGAATTTGATGCACAAAAGAATAGAAATAAGTAAATCACGAAACACTTAAAAAAATTTTCGAGGCAAAATTTCCTACCGCACTGTGAGTATCAAATATTTATAATTTTTTAAAATTTAAGTGTCTCGAGATTTATTTCTATTCTTTTGTTCTTCAAATTCAATAAAGAAAAATTATTAGTTCGTTGATATTTATTTCTAGAGGTCGCTCGAAAACATAGGTACACTACTTTGAAAGTTAAAATAATTATGAATGACCTTTAGAAATTAAAATATCGACTTGAAATTTTCAGAATCGAGATTTTTTTCAACCTAGAAAATGATAAAATAACGGGGAAAAAAAAATTTTTTTTAATATTCAATTTTTGACGATTCTGGAAATTTTTAAAAATCATGAGCGGCCTCTAAAAAAATTTTTTTTTTGAGGTAATTTTTTGAGGGGGCTCTTAAAACATGATAAACTAACATATTTTCACAAGACACGAAAAAAAAATATTCGTTTGTTTTGGGCCACCCTAATATACACTAATGCGAACAATTAAAGGGTCAAAAGAATTTCCGAAATTTTTCCGTGATTTTTGACACACTGTATTTAGGTATCGGGAATAAAAAAAGCATTTGAAAGCCTTAAGATTCTAGTTTTTAGATCTTTCGGTTGAAATTTTTTAGGCAATATTTTTTTGACACATTTTCTCACATTTTTTCCGCAAATAACGTTTGAATTGATGGATAAAAATAAATTGAAATTTTCTTTTCAGAGAAGAAAAAGGGTAGTCTAGAAGAAACTGTTTTTTAAGTGATTACAGACTGCACAAAAATTAATTAGAAATTTGTCTCAAAAAACGGTATGAATCGTGGTCGAAATTTGGTTTGGGTCATCAACTTTAATTTTAATATAATTAAAAGTTTATGAACAGAAGCATAGGACGAAAGAGCCGAATCGTGCTGGAAACAATTGGATTTTGTTTTCTTCAATGTCCGGAAGGTTTTTCAAAAAACACTCAAAATTTTTTTTTTTACGTCAATTTAAACGTTATTTGCGGTATTTTTTTCCATTTTAATCATGATTATGAAGTGTTTAAGTTCAAAAAACGTGACTCTTCTTCAATTTTTTTCAAGTTTGACTGTTTAAAACAAAGAAACGGTTTGCTAGATCAAGATGAAACTTCATAGGGTTCTTCTGGGTATATCGAACTGTAAAAGTCATTGGTCATTTCGTAAATATTTCTAATTTAGCCGTCAACCATAAATTACCGTTTTTTTCCTGTTCATTAAAATTCGTGTAAATGATGAAAAAAAAAAAAAAATTACGAAAAGTTGCGGAAGCAAGTTATAGGAAATTTATTCCAGTTTTCGAAACTGTCCTTAAATTCTCTGTACGACCATTTGTCGCCCAGACATCGACGATTGAAGACAAAAGGATCCTTTTCCGTTAAAAGTCCGATATTTCGATGAAAAATGGTCGTATCGTATTCGTATCGAAATTTAAAAAAAAAAAAAGGAAATTGAAGCTGAATAAACAAGCTATCTGGTCCATGCAATGGCTTAGCTGAAAAAAAAATTTCCAAGTCCGTGCTATTTCTTAGAATTGCATGATAAGCGTCGCTCCTAAAAAATTTCGACCGAAAGAACTAAAAACTAGAATCTTAAAGCTTCAAAATGCTTTTTTTAATTCCCGATACGACCATTTTTCACCTAAATACAGTCTGTCAAAAATCACCGAAAAATTTCGGAAACTCTTTTGACTCTTTATTTTTTTGCATCAGTGTACACTAAATTATCAAAATATACCAACAAAGGCAACGAACGTAAAAAAATCATTGAAGTTTAAAGCTGTTCTTTACGTAACTCGAGTATCAAGAAACAGAAGGTAGGTGAAAGCTTGGAGAAAGTTTGTCAAGTCTAGGTAAAAAAATCTTGAAAAAAAAAATGTTATACAAGATGTAAATGAGTACCTAACTATGATGTCTACAAATATAATAAAAATTCCATAGAAAAAAACTGTAACAAAGTAAAAAACAGCATTTCATATCCTGCAAAACAACTAGCCCGGGCAAAAATATGACGAATACAAGTACCTAATTAATGACTAAGCCATTTGTGTCTGAATATTAAGTTGAAGAGAGAAACAGTTATAATCTCGCAAAACATATTTGATCAACATTTTTATTTTCGGAAGAAGGTGTCTATTTTTAAAAGTGGCAATGAATTAGATTAACAAGAATTTGAAAGGAATGTAAAAACATTATTTAGTTATTTTAAAACTATTTCAATATGTAATAATTTTTACAGACATATTTTACGGTTTCTCTTTTTCAACAATGAATAAACATTTATTTGGAATTATATCTTCTTTTTTCTACAGAATAGCCTTGCAGAGTAAAAACTAAATGTACCACTACTGTACTATGTAACAATTATTATTTAAAAAACAAGGTTAAATTAATTGTAACTGTCAAATGAAAGATTTACGACATACTCGTCGGATTGTCGTCTACGTTTAGTAGAAAGTATTAACTTGCATTTTGATATGCCAAGTTTAACCTTTAAACTTTGAAACAGGCAGAGATCAAGTTAAAACGTCTGGTTATTAACATTATCGCAATCTGTCAACGAGACTGCACCTCCGATGCAGATACATAACCACCTTATACATTATTCATAGTCATTACTGAAGAATTTTTGCAATGTTAAACTCTGCGGCAAAAAGATTACTTCGTATTAGCAACAGTACTACATCAAAACATATATGGATCAAAATAAAGCAAAGCGCTCTCAATTCAAAAATAACATATCAGAACGTCTTGGAAAAAAATATAATATAAAAATAAAAACGACATGGCAAACATCGCTGCAAAATAAACTGGGTACATCGCATGTCCTTAGGTCAGAAAATTTTGCGAATCGATTAAAAAAGAGAAAGACGCCCACTGCCTACTAGGCCTCCAGAAATTAGAAACGCGGCGTGGCGGAAAGGGTTACAGTAAACATATTGTTTGTTGTGCAATAAGTCTAAAGCTGGCTTGTCACGCTTAAAAAGGTCAACAGCCAGTCTCTCTCTCTCCTGTCGTCAAGACATGAAATTCATAATTTCAACAAAGGAAGCAATTATTTTGTTTTACGATTGGAAAGAGCAAACCTGTTTGTGCAAATAAAAACAGTAACAAACGCCAAGCGAGGTCTATTCACAGCTAAACTGATATAATTCAAATGGGCTTTTCTTTGTTTTAATTTTAAGTCTAGTTTTATCATGATGTTTGTAAACAGTTATTTGAAATATACCGACATTTGTACTTATTCTACACTAGAGAAATACGAGGAAATCCAACAAAGATACATGACACATGCTAAAAATATCTTTGTTGGGATTATATTAAATATTTGGTTGAAATAAATTAAGAACTTATGTAAAATAAGCCAGTATCAATTATACAAACGTGCCTAGGCACTTCTTTTAAGAAGTGACTCATGTTACTTATTATTTTTATATTATATACCTCACAGTTTTTTTAAGATGTAGTCTTCTACTTGTACATGTATATGGAAACGAAAAACTATGCAAAAAGGGGCAATATATAGGGCAAATTAGGTGTAAAAATTTGACAGATGACAAATAAAGACAGCAATAAAGATGCCCACGTAAAATATGATTAATTTATGAATCCAATAAAGCCTATTTGAGAGCCATTTCGTCATATCCGCACGCAGGTTTTCAATAAGTTTGAAAATAAAGCGACAAACACAGCAACAACTTACCTGTGTATTATTAGTGCTAGAATCCTCAATTTTATCTGTTTCCATCTTTATCATTGTATTAAATTTTCAGGTTGCGTTATTGATTGAAATACACACTAATTTGTTGATAAATCTTCCACGCCTAGCACTGTTAAATACACTTCCACATTATTTTTTAACTATTATATACACAAACTACTATGTTTTAGTCGAAATCAACACCATAAAATTCACGATTCCGCTACACACTTCCTCCGCCGAAGTGTAGCACGCAAGAAAAGTTATCAGCAAACTGCCAAAAGCCTTGATTGACGTACTGCCACGTTAAAAAAATAAAAACCCTACGGATATATAAATTGAAATGGATACAAAATAATGACAAATATCTTATTTATTAAATATTTTCAGTTTATCTATCAACGTTCGATTATCTTGTAATATAAATAAAGCCAAATATATTAAAAGTTCAATTTCGATAACAATTTTAAGTTGGCATGAGGCGGTCAGCCGACGCGCCAATTTCAAATTTTGAAAAATATGATAATTACGTAATTAGGGGTCATCTTCGAACTTTGCATATGTTAACTAATTAACATGACTAATTTAAACTTATTTGTAGAGAATGGGAAAAAGATAATAGGTGTTGCAGCTAACTATAAGTACGTAAGACCCACCAATTCTTTTGTATTTTCTATTTTTTTTTGTTTGCAGATCTCTTTTAAAAATACTGGACAAACCTATGCCAAAAGTGCCCGAAATATTCATCAAACCTACCACATCTTACATTACAGAAAAAGAGAACATAGTGGTATAGTTTTTCTTTAATTATGTTATATTTAGCAGTGGCGTAGGTTCAGTAAGGTCAGGGGGACGTAGTTGAACATAAATTTAAAAATACAAATTCATAATTTTTTTTCCAAATATAATAAGCTCCTCCAAGCGTGTGGCCTATAATTTTAACTATTTTTAGATACCAAAAGGGTTTTCTGTTAATGAGGAGGTAGAACTGGGAGTAATTATTGGAAAAATAGCTAAGAAAGTGTCTGAAAAAGAAGCTTTGGACTACGTAGGAGGTTACTGTGTAGCATTGGATATGACAGCTACTTGTAAAATGGTAATTTTCGTTGTTTCAAAAAAAAAAATTATACTTATAAATACAATTTATTTTTACCGTGTGAAACGTCTTTAATTACAATAAAAATACTCTACGTTTTCCTACAGAAAGAAGCTCGAAGTACAGGAGGGTCCTGGACTCTAGGCAAAGGCTTCGATACTGCCACACCCGTCGGGTCGTTCATAAAGAAATCCGATATACCCGACCCACACAAAGTAACACTGTGGTGCTCCGTAAACGGTAAACATCGTCAAGATGGATGTACCGACGATTTGGCCTTCAGCATTCCAGTTCTAATCAGCTTTATTTCCCAGTATATAACTTTGGAACCGAACGATTTGATTTTAACCGGTTCGCCACCCGATATGGGACCAGTTCAACAAGGAGATATTGTGCGGTGTGGGATCAAAGATATTTCAGAGGTAGAGTTCAAGGTGGAAGCTGAGTAGGTTTATTCTACTTCCATGTCAGCAACATGAAGTTCTCTTAATTTTTCAAGATATTTCCGGTCCTTCTCGATGTTATACTCACTATAATAGTGAAATACCAGCAGGGCTATAGAGGTACCTATTATGCCGCCTCCCACTACATCTAAAAATACAAAATCTCACGAATTACATATATGTAATTTTTATCAACATTTAATATATAGTTAGTTATATTTTTGTAAAATATTGAATGGGGTAATAAAATTAAAAATCAAAAAATTCATTCATTCAATTAAAAATACATTGAAATGTCAATAAAAATTAAGTTGTACGCCATCTACAGTGTGTACAAACTAAATTTCTCTAGATACACTTTCATAATCCAGTAGGCCATGCATGGCCTGTAGCCATTTTTAAATATAGTAGCCTTCTAGATGCACATTTGGTTCTATTAAGATGATTCAGTTAATAATCCATAGTCGGCTGTGATTTTTTTGGAAGCGATTAATCAGAAAATAAATCTAGGAACTTTTTTAATAAAAATCCAACTACATGATCTTAACCAGCATCACTGAAAACCCCGTTTTCTCAAATTTAATTAATTCACAATACAGAATAAACATTTCCATAGCCTCCTTGATTTTTAAATTGAACAGAAGCAATAAATATAAATGTTTAAGGTAGGTAGTATAAAAAAATTTTCTGAATTAAATTGAAGGAATTCTGAGAGAATGGGTATCTAGTTAAATTGGTTAAAAGTACCTAACTAGATTTTTTAATAAAACAACCTCTAAAGTATTTGGAAAAAAATTGCTTCTAAAAAATCATAAAAGGCCATGTATTACCAACTGGATCATTATAATTGCTCCAACAAATACATCTAGAAAGCCACTATATACAAAAAAGTCACACTGTATATCCAAAATTTTTGAACTTGAAAACAATAACTGTGATAATTTTTTTTTTTTGTTATTACCTGACATGTGGTGATGATAGTCACAAAATCTGCTAAGAGAAATTACTATCGCAAGTATTATTGGCAACAAGGCGAGGAAAAATATTACTCCTCTTGCGAAACAGGGATGACTGAAATCATACTCGTTAAACATGTAAAGGGTTATATATACCATCCCAGTGAAGGAAAAGGAAGAATGTGCACTGGGAAAGCTCTTCCTACCGTCCATTTGGCTTCCCCAATCGCCCGTACAGTTTTGTATATCTATACCCACGCCGTCCGGGAAACAGCGATAAAAGAAATTGGGTCTCGGTCGTCCTATGATGACTTTTAGAAGGGCCGTTAAAACTGCATTAATGCCATATGCCAACGAGATTCCATAGAACTGATTTCTCAAATCATTATAAATCGTCTCTTTTTTACTACACAAAAAGCTAATGATATAAACGAGTAAAGGGATGCCTATCATCACCAGGTAAAGGTATATAAGGGGTATGATACTGGGAACGGATGGGTAACGATAGTACCATAGTTCCTCTTCTTCTATATGTTTAATAAACGGGGCCCATTTATTTAGGTATCTGTAAAATGCAATATGGTATAATTATTTAAGGTTCTTAAAAGCCGTTATAGGTTAACAGTTCAAATTTAATTAAGAAATGTCAAACAAAAACTTTGTCGAAAATAATGAAGTAAAATTTTATTATACTTACAAGTATGTGATCCATAGTAATAAACGAAATCCAATTTCTGAGATATGATCGAGTGTTAAAAGTAACATTTTTATTTAAATGTGAGTCTTATTTCATGCCTGTACATTTTGTTACACAAAATATTTCATATAAGATATTCACTGAATCATTTTTTAGAGTATATCACTGAAAATTTTGATTTATCAACTTGAATGAATAAGGTTAACAAATAGCTCAAACTGACACAAACAACCTTTGATCATAATTTATTTAAATATAAAATAAAAAATGTTCAGAATAAAGTAAACACAAAATAATTGATTATGAATATAAGAGCAGTATGTTAAAAAACTAATGCTTAAGTAAAGGATTTTTAATGGCATTGTCATATCCATGGTACTCGATTTGATCAACAAGATATTTTCGATGAACCCTGCATTCCGTACCACATTTTTGCGATCCACATTTCGGGCATTCAAAGAAGCACCCCAAACAGTCCTCATTGAGACAGTCACATAAATCTGTTAGAGTGGTGATGTGGATGCCATTCTCGTCATAGATGGCTCCTGCAGGTCTACGGACATTGCTGGGAGGGTTTATCTTCCTGTTGAGTTTCCTTTTCTCCCGAACACTAGTCTCTGGATTGAAATTGGCCATGAAACGGTCCGACGTCGCTCGGAGGGCTTTAGTGGCATTTCTAGCTGCTTGTCTTCGAGTTATGTACATTTGGGTGGGTGGTTGAGGGGCTGTAGATTTTCTAGCTGTACGGTGCTCTTTTTCTCGAAAAGTGGGATTATATTCGTCCTCGCTACTCTCAGTAGTTTCCGCAGAGCTCATTTTTTCTTTTAAATGTACTTGTTTACTTAATATTTCTATAAACACTACTTTACACTGGCATTGAATTTGGGCCTCTTTTAAAATATGCCTTTATATAAAAAATTCTGAATTACTTATATCTATATAGTTTGAATAAATTAAGAAACGGTTCGTTTTTATGACAGGAAAGTAAACAAAACATAACCTATTTGTGATAGCGGATGAAGCCTTTTGCCAATCTAGAAAACAAAAATCGTTAATATAATGCCAACTGTCATGCCATAAAATTAAATTTCTGTTGCGATTGGACAAGAGGGTGTTGATTTGTTTACATTGCAAGTAACTTTTCATAAAAAATTATATAAAGACGTTTCTTATAAAATGGAACGTATTTCAAATTATATATTTTTTTTATTGGAGCAATTATTAAACAGGCCAACTGGTTTAGCTATCCTTGTCTTTGCGGACGACAAGAAAGAGAAAAAACATTTCTCTTCTTCCGCCAGCTGTCACGTAACATGTCATTTTTCTGTTCTGCAGTTCCCCTCCCGTCAGTCTTTTTAACAACACAAAACAAAAATTAAAATGTTGTAATATGACTCAATAGATTCGGTGAATTGCAAAACAATGTGCTCTTGAGACTTTCTAATCCGATGCATTAGTCAATTAGCGACGATGTCGGTGGTTTTGTGATACAGTTCCGTGTGTTTTGGAATGGCGACTCGCAGAGATGTTCTGAAGGCTTCTATGGATCCTTTACCTAGTGCCAGCGATCCTCTCAGGGAGCTTTTCGAAGCCTGCAAGGTGGGAGATATCGCCAGGGTGCGAAAACTGATCACACCCACGACTGTGAATGCCAGGGACACTGCTGGAAGGAAGAGTACTCCCTTGCACTTTGCTGCTGGCAAGTTTTTTTTCTTTTTTTTTCAGTTCTGTTTTATAACATGACAGATATAACATTCAAATTGCTATCTAAGGGAACATCCTGAACTGTGTTATACAAAATGTTTTTTTTTATAAACAGAAATGCAAAAAGCAAACAGAAATTTTTAAAACAAAGTACAAAAAGATTGCTATGGATTGTGTCTGAGCTGTCCAAATTTGAAAATGTTCCGATTATGTGCTGAAGCTATTTTAATACTGTCGGTAATGTGGTGGTAAAAATGTCTCAGATGTAAAACATCAGAAAAACATTACTTATTCTAAAAATATTCTTCCTTACAGTGGGTAATATAAAAGTTATTTATATACATATTTTGTATCATTTATTTAGAATCATTATTGCAAAACAGAAATCTGTTTCCTTATTTGTACTCCGACTTACAAATAAATAGAAAATGTGTATTTTACACAACTGCAACTTTACGATTTTTTATTTTGCCAAATATGCTGTCTCGAAAAGGTTTTTTGCCAATACAATTTTAGTGTTATAAAAAACTGTTTCATTGAATATTTTTTATTAAAGTTTGGAGCATTATTAAGCATATTAAATTAACATATTTTTATTATACCATACTGCAGATTTGGAGTTGCTTAAAGTAGTTAAATATACATTCTAGTTTATTTTTACATTTTGTGACCCATTTCTAAATATTATGTTTCCGTTTTGATATATTTACTTATTTGACAATGAATCATTGGGATGTGAAAATATTTTATGTTACTTATCTAGATACTATTATCTTTTGAAAAAATAAAATTTTTTTGGATATATTATTTGCAAGATAACTAAGCAATTCTGACTATTAAATTGTATTAACAAATTCTCGAGATAACAATAATTTTTTTTAAATCTAAATTACCTTATTTGTTATGTTGTTTAATTTAATTATCAAGTAATTGAGCCTAAAGATTAAAGTGCCATAAACAATTTGAATAACAGGATACCTTTCATGGTTGTTACTTACCTTGAACCATGTTTATATACAAAATTTGTCAAAATTGTTAGTAACACAATAATATTTAACAGTACATTAGAATGCTTCTTGTTATAATTAACAATTTAGCATAAATTTAAAATTTTGCCCTGACGTAGTCCATATTTTTGGCCAGGTTATGGCAGGAGGGATGTTGTAGAGTTCTTGCTGTCTGCGGGAGCTTCCATTCAAGCACGGGACGATGGAGGCTTACATCCATTACACAATGCGTGTTCATTTGGACATGCCGATGTGGTGAGGTTATTACTGGAAGCTGGCGCCAATCCCAATACAAGAGACAACTGGAATTACACGCCCTTGCACGAAGCGGCTATTAAAGGAAAAATAGATGTTTGCATAGGTTGGTTTTCCTTTTCAAAAGAAAATAGTGGATCGGTGCTTAATAAAGTATCAATAACTATTATTTTTGTCAATTTTCAGCCCTCCTGCAGCATGGAGCAGATGTAAACATCCGCAACACCGAAGGAAAAACCCCCTTGGAAGTCGCCGATGTCTCTACTCGACCCGTGCTGACGGGAGAATACCGTAAAGATGAATTACTAGAGGCGGCACGTTCCGGTGCGGAGGACAGGCTTTTGGCACTGCTCAATCCGTTAAACGTAAATTGTCACGCCAGCGACGGACGCAGGTCGACTCCCTTACACCTGGCGGCGGGATATAACCGCAACCGCGTCGTGCAGCTCCTGTTACAGCACGGCGCTGACGTTCACGCTAAAGACAAAGGGTAGGGTTCAATTTTTGACGGTTCTGATGTAATGTATTTGACGATTTGACTTTGTTCCGCAGTGGTTTGGTCCCCTTGCACAACGCTTGCTCTTACGGCCACTTCGAGGTGACGGAAATGCTGATTAAGCATGGCGCTAACGTAAATGCTAACGACTTGTGGGCTTTCACGCCTCTACACGAAGCCGCCTCGAAATCCAGATTGGAGGTCTGTTCGCTGTTGCTCAGTGAAGGGGCGGATCCCTACCAGTTAAACTGCCACTCGAAATCCGCAATCGACGTCGCGCCCACGCGAGACCTGCAAGAAAGGCTAGCTTGTAAGTTACAATGTTTTTCCATTTTTCTTTGTTTTGTTTTTCAGTGAAAAAACTTACAAATTTCAGACGAGTACAAGGGCCACCTGCTGCTAGAGGCGGCCCGCCAGGCCGACACGGCCAAGATAAAAAAGTACCTCACCCCGGAAATCATAAACTTTAAGCACCCCTACACGGGTGACACGGCCCTGCACGCCGCCGTCATTTCCCTCTACCCGAAGAGGAAGCAGGTAATCGAGACGTTGATCCGAAAAGGCGCTCATCTCAACGAAAAGAACAAAGACTTTCTCACCCCGCTTCATATTGCCTCGGACAACTCAAACTACGATCTCATGGACGTGCTGTTGAGGCACGGGGCCAAGGTGAACGCCCTGGACGGATTGGGACAGACCGCCCTCCACAGGTGCGCCAGAGAGGATAACGTTCAGGCTTGCAGGATACTGATGAGTTACAACGTCGATTTGAGCATCGTTTCGCTGCAGGGCTATACGGCCGCTCAGGTGGCTTCGGAGAACGTGCTGAAGATATTGCAAGGTAATATATTTTTCACATAGACTAAAATTTACTTTACTTTATTTAAAATTGCGTGCTCATCAACGAATCGCGGGTTTGCCATGTCACGTGTCAAGAAAATTATTTTAAATAATATATGCCATGTTATGAATGGGACGAGTCTCTACCGAGTGGGTACTGTTTTATACAGTTATTCTTTTATTTTGTGCTAGCGCAAACTTTTATCTACATTTAGGAGTATAAATCGACTGTCTTGGTGGATTTGTGGGTGATTAAGAAATAATCGATTTCCTCCTCCATACAATTGCAAAACAGTCTATAGCAATTGTTTTTCAGATCCTCCGACCGGTACTGCCGACGTAGAGTGCCAAATTCTGGAGGCCGCCAAATCGGGAGATTTGGACCAAGTACAAAGACTGTTGGGATCGTTTCCCCACATAGTCAACTGTCGCGACTTAGACGGGAGACATTCGACCCCTCTACATTTCGCTTCTGGCTATAACAGGGTATCGGTGGTAGAATTTCTCTTACAGCAGGGTGCCGACGTTCACGCTAAAGATAAAGGGTAAGAAGGAAATTCATACAGAAACGGTGAAGAGCTTTTAAATATGTATATTTTTTATGTTTCTGACAGACAAAGGGAGATTTTTGAAAAACATAATTTCAGCTTGTAAGTTGGAAGAATTCCGATCTGATAATCCTATCATAACCTTACCTAACCTAACTTAACCTAATGTAACCTAACAAACTTCAATTGAAAATATATTTTTCTGACTTATTTGAAACTTTAGTCACATTTTTCTCAATTAGTTCTTGAATAATTCCTCGAATTATATCTTGGTGGCCTTCTACGTTTCTGTAACGTCTCGTAAATAAAGGAAAAAAATTATTTTTATAATTTTATATTTTATTCCAATAAATATTTCCTTCTAGGGGTTTGGTGCCGTTACATAACGCCTGTTCCTACGGACACTACGAAGTGACTGAACTTCTAGTAAAGCATGGCGCGAGTGTGAACGTCGCCGACCTGTGGAAGTTTACGCCGCTACACGAAGCTGCCGCTAAAGGAAAGTACGAAATCGTAAAGTTATTACTTAAGGTGAGATTATAAGCTTTTACCTTCGCGGTTGCCTACGAATGGTTCCTTTTCAGCACGGAGCGGACCCCAGCAAGAAGAACCGTGACGGCGCCACTCCCTTGGATTTGGTACGCGAAGGCGACCAGGACGTGGCCGACCTCCTTAGGGGTAACGCCGCCTTGTTGGACGCGGCCAAGAAGGGCAACCTTGCGAGAGTTCAGAGACTTGTCACTCCCGAGAACATCAACTGTCGCGACGCGCAGGGTAGAAACTCGACACCTTTACACTTGGCGGGTGAGTTTTTTTAAGTCGACATTCTCGTTAAAGTACGTGGCGGTTCGATTTTTATTATCAATCTTGGAAACAAGCGTGTATTTTTTTTGTTTTGGCTCATCCGTTTTTATTTTTCATTAATTTTGGATAATTATTGGGTAAAAGTTGTTATTTGGAGAAATTCTGCATAATTTTCTTAAATAATTGCGATTTTAACATCAAAAATATTATTTTTAGAATTTCCGGATTAATTTGTAAATCACAATAGAATTTTTTTAATAGCTGGTTACAACAACGTTGAGGTAGCAGAATTTCTACTCGAACATGGCGCCGACGTTAACGCCCAGGACAAGGGCGGACTTATACCCCTCCACAACGCCTCTAGTTACGGCCACCTCGATATAGCAGCTCTCCTGATCAAGTACAATACTGTTGTAAACGCTACTGATAAATGGGGCTTTACGCCCCTCCACGAAGCCGCCCAGAAGGGAAGGACGCAGCTTTGTGCTTTGCTGGTAAGTTTTGAGATCATCATCCCAGTAATCGAGAAATAGCGAAAACACAAACCGTTCTTCCTGTTCATAACTTTCGGACTATCTCAAAATGTGTAAAATCGACTTCAAAAGATTATCTTAGTTACCGTTTAGACGCTTGATTTCACGTTTTTAGCTCGCCCACGGGGCGGACCCCTTCCTGAAGAACCAGGAGGGCCAGGCCCCGGTAGACTTGGCCTCCGCCGACGACGTCCGCTGCCTACTGCAAGACGCCATGGCCTCCCAACAGGGCGTCGCCACGACCTCCGCGCCACCCTCCCGCGCCCCGTCTATCGCCCTCTCTCACACACCGAGTCCCCCCTTGCCCTCTACCGTCAACGCAGAGACCGTGATCATGCCCTCGGGGGCCGCGGTTCAGCTGTTGGTACCTGTCGGTAGTAGGAACAGCGTATCCATGGGCGCTGCCGAGGGATGCTGCTCCACGACGAAGATGGAGAGCAGCGAGAGCGAAGTGGGCGGGATTTGTTCGGTTGCTAATTTCCTCGCCAGCTTGAATCTGGAGCACTTGTTGGACATCTTCGAGAGGGAGCAGATCACCCTCGATATATTGGCGGAGATGTCGCACGAGGACCTGAAGCAGATCGGCATATCGGCGTACGGGTTCCGTCACAAGCTTATAAAAGGTAAGATTTCCGTTAAAGAAAAGCTTTGCTTTTGTATGCAGAAGGTGAAACTGAAAGAAGAGGTTTGATTTATACTCAGGAACTACCAAGAAGTGGCGCATTTGAACTACAAAATTAAAGCCGCTATTACGAGGTACTGGTACGTTTGAACTACCGAAACATTCTTCTTTTTTTAGGTATGGAACGTCTGATGGCCAGTTGCAGTGGTCTGTGGTCCACCCCTTCTAACCCCGGTACTTTACTCGTCGATCTTTTGTCCGACGATAAAGAATTTATTACCGTCGAAGAGGAGATGCAGAACGGTATAAGGGAGCACAGAGATAACGGTCACGCCGGTGGTGTATTTTCACGATACAATATTGTCCGGGTAAGAGAGAGACTCTTGTCGTACCGGAATATTTACATTTTAAACGATAATTTATTTTTAGATTCAAAAAGTGCAGAATCGGAAGCTCTGGGAGCGTTACACGCACCGCAGGCAGGAGGTGGGCGAGGAGAACGGCAACCAGTCGTGTGAAAGGATGCTGTTTCACGGCTCGCCTTTCATCAACGCCATCGTGCAGAAGGGTTTCGACGAGAGGCACGCTTATATCGGCGGTATGTTTGGCGCCGGTATTTATTTCGCCGAACACTCTTCCAAGAGCAATCAGTACGTATATGGAATCGGGGGAGGTACCGGGTGTCCCACGCATAAGGATCGCAGCTGCTACACTTGCCACAGGTCAGAAGTTTCTTCTTTAACGTCGAAATTAGAAATAAAGAAAAAAAAAGTTCATTTGATCGTTTTAAAATAAAAAATCAAATTTTATATGTTACAGGCACTTGCTCCTCTGCCGCGTGACGCTCGGCAAGTCGTTCCTGCAGTTCAGCGCAATGAAGATGGCGCACGCTCCCCCGGGCCACCACTCGGTGGCCGGTCGTCCGTCGGCGGGCGGCCTGAACTTCCCGGAGTACGTCGTGTACCGGGGAGAGCAGGCCTACCCCGAATACTTCATAACGTACCAGATCGTCAAGCCCGAAGACCGTTCCAGTGGGGCAGACTCGGACGTCAGGTGATTCCAAGAGCAGTGGTTGATGCTGCAGCCGACTAGGTCGTACAAGGACTACCTGTGCAGCCTGCTGTGCCACGCTTTGCGCTGCTTAGTGCCGGCGAGGAAAAAGTGCAGTTGCCAAGAGCAGAGGAACTGATCTTAGTCGTTTCGGTAATCGATTTGAATCGGAGACGGCGGATGGGGTTTTTGACTAGTGGCGTTTTAAGGTATTTTTTAATTCTCTCCACACAAAGTTTTTAAATGGAAATGAATTTTAATTTCAGATATTTGGACGTTTTTTTTTATTTATTGTGAAATTATAAAATATAGGCTCGATTTTTTCAGTTTTACGTACCGCGAAACGGGGCGATATTGTGACATTGCAGAATACTAACCTTTTAAAATATAAAGCTTTGACTATCTGGGCTCCACTTCATCAGTTAACATGTTTGAGTTAGTGTTTTAGATGTTACGTTTTTATTTGGAAACGAATTTGTGAAACTGCCATTCGGTTTTCATGATGCTCAAACGATAAAGAAAATGTATAGTGTAGAAACTTTTGAAAATAAATATTGGTATAATTGAGGTTCGTTAAAAGTAAAATTTGCATTTCCATTTGTTTTTTTTTATATTTGTAAACGTAAAGTTTAAAACTCCATCCGCAGTTATAAAATGCCCCACATTAAAGGAATTGCAAGTATTTTTTAAAATTGGGAGTGGCGTATTGTAAAAAAACTTTAGATATTTCCTTTATTGCAATAAGTATTTTATATATATATGAATTATTTCTTGTTTTACTGATTATTAGTAAAGTAAAATAATTTCAAACTATTGTATGTGGGAACGCAAATGGCTCTATCTGTTGTGCCGACTCCCAAGTGTGCCATTCAAATGGCTACAGTAGGAACCGACCTGCTATATTGCAGGTACTTGTTGCACGACTGCCACCCACAGAGGGCAAAGACAATGTTTTAATTGTCAGTGTTACGAGAAACAACTACTCCGAAGGCTATATGCCCCTACTGGCATTGAATTATACTCACAACACCTAGTGCAACAGCTAGGATTGTTCGTTAGTTTAACCCACCAGGCACAGACCAGTTTCGGACTTATTAGTCCTAATCAGTGTGTCATAGGTGAGACAACCGACTCCGAAACCGGTCTGTGCCTGGTGGGTTAAACTGACGAACAATCCTAGGTGTTACGAGTATAATTCAATGCCGGTAGGGGCATATAGCCCTTGGAGTAGTTGTTTCTCGTAACACTGACAATTAAAATTTCAAACTATGTTTATATTTTTAATCGCGTAGAGGGCTAGACTGAGAAAATTTGGTCTAAAGTGGAGTGATTTTGAGACTTGGTTATTTTTATCTTGTAAAAAAATAAAATAAAGTCGCAACACCAAAAAGTATTAACGTTATCGTTTTTTTTGCTCCCAATTTTTAAGAATACGTTCTTGCCATTGAAAAATGATGTGTTCATTTTTATGTAAATAATTATGTAACATAGGACTTTCATATTGCGCATTTTACCCTATTTATTATCGTTTTCGCTAATTTTAATGAAAGACAAGGAAAATTTAAGTTTCAAAATCAGTATGTGATATGAATATTTATGGTAAGTAAGGATCGTTTAACTGGTGTGGTGTTAACTTTTAAATTTTACTTGTATACTGTTTTTTTTTTTTGAAAATTTTTCTATATCGTAGTATTTAATAAAAATATTTCTGTGGAACTGAGTTTTTGTTCAAAATAAAGCCACCGTACTAGTCGTATTTCTTTATTAACATACATAGACTTGCCATAATTCAATCTACTGTGGAAATGACACGTATTTTCACAGTTTTCTTAAACATAAATTCCTAATGGAACAGGGTAGAATATTTGCATCCATATTTTTTTATAATTTTATAAAGTGCCCCACATTGGGCGCCGATGTTGTTAACTTAAAAGACTCGATTCCCCGACACTTCTAACCTGTCCCACTTTACAAAAATTTAATTTTCATGTAAATACAGGTTTTATCTTTTACTAATATGATTGTATACAGCAAGTATATTTTTTACATATATCACAGAAACATTTATTTTTTACAAAGATAGATCCACATTTATGACAGGTAAGTAGGGTTGTGAGATTAAAATACTGGAAGTCAGTTCACAATTACGTCGATTTGAAAAGAATTCAGATCACAGTTACATATTTCCCGTGTTTACTAGTTTTCGAAGCGTAAAGAAATTTGGCACATATATATAGGTACAAAATTACCTCTGGTAGTTTTTCTCTGCATACACTTTGTTCTGTGTCCCGTTTTGTGCAGAGGGAAAATATATTTGTATAGTATTTAAACTGAGAAATGCTATCGTATCCCAAAATTAAGTTAGACGATTAAGAAACAGTGGTGTGCATTAATTAATTTGTGTATTTTCAAGTTTTAGTAAATTCTGAAGTTTTAATAATCAATTTTTTATAGCTTTATCGTTAAATATAATGTATTTTTTATCCCCACTTGAACTGTTCTAACATTTAGTAATATTTCAAATTTTCAACTCATTTCTAAAGTCTTAATCTTAAAGTTTAAAAACTACAACGGAATCGTTTAGAAAATATATACTTCCTACGAGTTTTTTCAAGTTCTGAGATCTGTGAAAAAATAAAGAATCTTTCAAGAGAGTAGAAAAATAACTAATAAATCTTTATTAGAAAAAATCAGCCTTTTGAAGTGTTTTCCGTGTTGGTTTTATATAGTATGCCAGTTTTTCAAAATTTGCCCTAGCCTACTGGATGAGTGATGAGAAAGATTGTAGTAAATGGTCTCCCCACCAGCCAAAATAGCCCCCCACTCACCAAAGGTGCCGTAATCGTAGATCGAATGGTTGCACGATGCCAAGATCGCCAGGTCCAGAGCTGGAGAGTTCTTGTGGTACCGACTGGCTACGTACACGTTGTTCTTGAACCCGAATTTCTTCCAGCACCACGGCGGATCATCGCTAACCACGATAAACACGACGTTTCGATACTTCCTCTCAAAGAAACCCATGGCTGACTTGTAGAAGTCAACGTCAGCCGGTTTGGCGTTGTGTTTCCTCATCAAATACCCGATATAGTCCGTCCTCCGTACGTGAATGCCTACAAAGGTGTGGTTTCTTGCGGCGGAAGGCTTCACAGCTAAATGTAGGATTTGTTGGCTCTTTAGCAGCAGCTTCTTTTTTATAGTAAACTCTTGAATGATGTCTTGGACCCAAGTTAACACTAGTTCAGGTTGAATGGAGTATCTCGGTAAAATAATACTTTGATTGGTAAAGTTCCAGGCCTCTAGAGACTTTACGAAATGGTTTATTTCTACTGGGCAATGTCCGATCTCTCCAAACGTTGGCACCGACAGTTGCTCAAACACCTGGTCTAGCTTTATTTTGATACACCTGGGGACGTAGGGCTCCAGGCCTGTCCTCCTGGCTAGAGCCCATACGGACGCGTACTCCCACATCTGATTGCCCAAGCGGCCACCCTGCATGATGGTAACGATGCCATACTGCGGGCACCGGCTGAGTCTCCAGATTCTCCTCTTCTTGATGTTGTTGGTGCAGAGGGACTGCTCAAAATCCATGTACGTTCTCACACTGCCCCTTCCGACGTTCATGTCGTACAGCGGAAATAAAAATACGTGCACAAAGGATATCACACATAATGCCAGTATTATAGCTTTAAATAATAGGTTGTGGTTTGTGTTTAACATTATTTTGTTACTTGTAGCAATCTAAAGCACTGTCTCTACTTCTAAATTTAAGCATTTTACTAGAAAATCTCACCCAGACTGTTCCTCTCTGTGCTACATCTTAGTATTGATTTTTATCATCGCATCTTCGCGAGCGCGTCACAATATGGATGCTGCGATCTTTCGCGTTCCATTCATTTATTTAAAAAAAATCATATTTAGTTTTAATACTATATTTCATGTTGTACATTTGAAAATCGCATTTAAAATAACTGTTCTATAATACCTAATAATTTTTTCAGAAATTATCTACCTATTTTCTACACTATTCATTTTTGTTAATATTACTATGCCACCCCTTCTTCCGCACAGCTCTTTGACTTTTGGACTAATTAGGGCAAACCCTTTCGAGTAGAGCGAGGGATAAAGTATTATTATTATTTATCTATTTTGTTTTTTATGAATTATAATTTTTTTTTACGAGTTTAACTGAGATACAGCCAGGTATACACATATAATGTAGTAACAGTCATATGCGCATAAAAAGGCACATTAAAGATAGAACGGAGTAGAACTTTATAAATTAAAAGAAGCCTTTCAAAAAGACACTACAACTTTTCCAACTAACCATTTAAATCTTCGAAGAGTACGCATTGTAAGAGGATTTATTAGAAGAACTTTTGAATTTCCCGGGTTATGTAATAGTGATTACCGAGAGGGCAGCACGAAGAAATTTGCGTTATGTTTTTGAGTGCAAGTGAGCAAGTGAGGTGATTAGGAAAAATATCCGGCTTCTCTGCAGTCGTCCAGCTTTTGTAAACACCGAGAATATCAATCAAATAACAAATGAACAACGTTGGAAATGGCTGACGAGCAGGTGTGTACCTTGCTTTAACATTCTTGATGCGAAAAGGCGAGAGTGACGATAACTCAAAATTTTATAGTTCGGAGATATAACTGACGATTTTTTACTTCCGCCGTAATCCTCTTAACCTTTTTTGAACTCGAACCTTTCCTTTACGACGTCAAGAAGTTAAAACAATGCAAAAATTTATAGTTGCCAACCATTAGGGAACAATAAACAAAAGACTAAACACTGTGGTTATGTTATTATAGTGAAAAGTCATTCATAATCGTAATTACAGGGTTGTACTGTTAGCAAATGTAATTGTCAGGTTTGAATGCCTATTAAAAAGTTGTTTTTTATGCCACAGGAGATCAGACAATTGGAGCTGCTTTGTAAACAGTTGTATGAGTCTCAGGATACTGCAGTTAGGGCAGATGCAGAAAAGGCTCTTGTGGTTTTCCAGGATGGTCCCGATGCGCTTACAAAGTGCCAGGTACTTCTCGACAGGGGGGACTCGTGCTATGCTCAACTACTGGCAGCTACCACCCTCACCAAGCTGGTATCCAGGAGTGCACAAGGGTTGAGTCTGCAGCAGAGGGTGGATATAAGGAACTACGTTTTAAATTATTTAGCTACTAGGCCCAAATTGCCGAATTTTGTCGTGCAAGCTTTAGTTACGTTGTTTTCTAGGATTACTAAACTCGGATGGTTTGATTCGCATAAGGATGATTTTGTTTTTAGAAATGTTGTGGCTGATATTGGAAAGTTTTTACAAGTAAGTTGTTTCTCAATATTCTCATGACTAATTTTTTAATTTACTAAATTCTTACACACAGTTTTATCCTTTGTTGATTAAGTATTATTTTATGTTTTGTAAAAGATTTACAGTACAAAAATAAATAGTTACCTTCCTTTAAATTCTTTTAAGGATTTATTTTATAGCCATAATTTTTTTATTTTCTTTCATTTAGGGTTCTGTGGAGCACTGTATGATAGGAGTGCAGCTTTTGTCTCAACTGACATGTGAAATGAATCAAATCTCAGAAGTGGAAGCGAACCGTTCACTTACTAAACATCGCAAAATAGCGTCCTCCTTCAGAGACACCCAGCTTTTCGAAATTTTTCGACTTTCTTGTACCCTTCTAGGAAACGCCAGAGAAAACTGTAAAAATTTGAACTTTAACGATGAGAGTCAACACGGGCTGATGACGCAACTGTTGCAACTCGCCCAGAATTGCCTTACTTTTGATTTTATCGGTACCTCAACAGACGAGTCCTCCGATGACCTCTGTACGGTGCAAATACCCACAAGTTGGCGACCGGCATTTTTAGATTTCACCACTTTAAAACTGTTTTTCGACTTGTATCACTCTCTGCCCAACACATTGTCATCACTCGCACTGTCTTGCCTGGTACAAATAGCGTCCGTGAGAAGGTCGTTATTCAGTAATACCGAAAGGGCTAAATTCTTGACGCATTTGGTAAACGGGGTGAAGCACATCTTGCAAAATCCTCAAGGTTTGAGCGATTCTGCTAACTACCACGAGTTCTGCAGACTGCTTGCCAGACTCAAGTCCAATTACCAACTCGGGGAATTGGTTATGGTGGATAACTATCCCGAAGCTATACAGCTGATTGCCAAGTTTACTGTACAAAGTTTACAGGTAATATATCTACAGGGTGTTCGGTTTGAAACTATCAGGCCGATATTTCGGAAACCGAAAACAACCAAGTTGTTTAAAAAAAAAACAACTGTTTTTGGGAAATGACCATTTAAGTACACAATTCTGTTAAAATAATCGAAATTATCGACTACATATTTCTGAATATTATACTATTATTATTATTATAATAAAAATACCCAGTATGGCAGCTATAACAGTTCACTAACATGATACTAGGGATAAGAGGAGAAAAAATTTCTTTAAATGAACAAGGCTTTGTTCCATCGCCTTTTGAGTTAATGATTTTTTGTAACTTCATTAAAAAACAATCAAAATATGTAAATAATTTCTAGCCAAATCAGAAGCTGGATAAGTCGTTTTTATTTTCCAATCTGTCAAATTTAATATAAATAAGTTACAAAGCACTTATGACTCAAAATTAATTTTGGCATTGAATTATTGTTTTTATTTTAAAAGTTGGTCCAAATATAAATGAAATTTTGAAATCGCAAAAATAGCATTCACATTACAGTTCATATAAGAAATATTACAAAAAATTCTAAGGAATTTTTACAAAATTTTGTTTTTTAGTTGTCTATTTGTATCTTCCTGCATCATAAATTATATCAAATGTATTAATAAATTTTTAATCGTTATTCATCTTCAAATTAACATATTTCTGGGCATCAGAAAGTCCCATTTCTAGCATCAGATTTCTAAAATCTTGTTATTCTTTTTTATTATTTTCCTAAAACTACATGTTTGATTTTTACATTTCAAATTAACTAATTTTTAAACTTTATTATCGTAAACTGCAGGAATATGGATAGTACTAAACTCAATAGTTTCTGGAATAATTTTTTTATCTTCATGTTTATATGATGTTATGACGTACAACCCCAATGAGTTTTGTTATAAATCAAGAAAATTTTTGAAATGATTTGAACTTTTTCTGAAATTAGTATATGTCTTATAGTTTTTGAAATATCAGACTCGGATGTTTTGAACAGAACACTTTGTATCTATGAAAATACTTATATTGATACAAAACAAAGACATCTAAAACTTTTCTGTTACTCTCGACCTTCTAGATGTGGCAATTCGCCCCCAACAGCGTACACTACCTGTTGAGCCTCTGGCAGAAAATGGTGGCTTCCGTCCCGTACGTCAAAGCCACAGAACCGCACTTACTAGAAACCTACACTCCCGAAGTAACCAACGCTTACATAACCTCACGTCTGGAGTCCGTAGCGGTGGTCGTGAGGGACGGATTGGAGGATCCCCTCGACGACCTAGGCATGGTCCAGCAGCAGCTGGAGCAGCTGTCGGTGATCGGAAGGTGCGAGTACCAGAAGACCTGTACTCTCCTGGTACAGTTGTTCGACCAAGCGGCTAGGAGTTACTCGGAACTCCTGGCCAGCCCCAGCAACCAGATAGAAATTACCATACAAGAAGGTGAGAGAAGTATATATTGCCATTTTTTTTAAATATAAATGTTTGTTTTACTTTCAGGTCAACTGACGTGGCTGGTATATATAATAGGGTCTGCGATCGGCGGTAGGGTGTCGTTCAACAGTAACGAGGAGCACGACACGATGGACGGAGAGTTGGTGTGCAGGGTGTTGCAGCTGATGAACCTGACGGATTCCAGGCTGGCGCAGGGGGGCTGTGAGAAACTAGAGTTAGCTATGTTGAGTTTTTTCGAGCAATTTAGGAAGATATACGTGGGGGATCAGGTGCAGAAGAACTCGAAGGTGTACAGGAGGCTGTCGGAGGTGCTGGGGCTCAACGACGAGCCGACGGTGTTGAGCGTCTTTATTAGGAAGATGTAAGTACACAAATGTTTTATGAGCGGTCTTAATAATTGGTCGCATCCGATGTTTACAAACGTTCCATAAGTTTGTCCTCTTGATAATTATTGTCTTATTTATTTCAGTATAACGAATCTAAAATACTGGGGCAGGAGCGAGCAGATCATCAGCAAGACCCTGCAGCTCCTCAACGACCTGTCCGTCGGATACAGCTGCGTCAGGAAGTTGGTGAAGCTGGACGAGGTCCAGTTCATGCTGAACAACCACACCAGTGAACATTTCCCGTTTCTGGGAAATTCCGTGGCCATAACAGAGATGCGGTGCCGTTCCATGTTCTACACATCACTCGGGAGGCTGTTGATGGTGGACCTGGGGGAGGACGAGGACAGGTTTCACACTTTCATGCTGCCGTTGACGGGTGAGTCCTAAATTAAGAAAAAAAGTAAGTCTTGTAACACTGTATTTCAGCTTCCTTCGAAAGCATAGGAACGTTGCTAGCTTCGGCCGACACTCCATTATTTGCAGCCGACGAGGCTAAAAAGGCTCTGATCGGGCTTGCGAGGGACCTACGGGGTCTAGCGTTTTCATTCAATACCAAAACGTCGTACATGATGCTTTTCGACTGGATGTATCCTTTTAGTAAATAAATTCGATTCGATGGAAAATGCATATCCATCAAATTATATACCCGAGCCTCTGGTGTCATTTCCCATCAGGTGGATTATTATTATATAGTGCTCATACTAAACTATAACAGATGAATGTTAGAGATCATTGATGCAGAGATTCACAAACTAAACACAGTGCTTTACAAATATTTTGTATTAAAACGTTTTCCTTAATCGACCCGTCAGATATCCAAATTACACCCCGATACTACTTAGAGCCATAGAGCTGTGGTACCATGACCCGCAGGTGACGACGCCCGTGCTGAAACTGTTCGCCGAACTAGTACAAAATAGATCACAAAGGCTGCAATTCGACGTTTCCTCTCCGAACGGTATATTATTATTTAGGGAAGCTAGTAAAATAATTTGTAGTTACGGTAAGTACCGGATATAACGTCGTTGGGCCCGTGAAAACGCAACCGTTCGGATTTCAGGTAGTAGAATATTGAACGTAGAAGTACCAAAAGAGCAGACCTACCCCCTGAAGCTGAAGGGCATCTCTATATGCTTTTCCATGCTGAAAGCGGCGCTGTGCGGCAGCTACGTCAACTTCGGAGTTTTCCGACTGTACGGCGACGAAGCGCTGGACAATGCCTTGAATATTTTTGTAAAGTTGTTGCTGTCCATCCCGCAGTCGGACCTACTGGTAAGTGCCTTCGTAGAGGGTCCCAAAAATTATTGAACCTGACTTAGATGGAGTATCTCGGGCGTAGTATTGGGAATTAAGATACTAAATTACAAATGAACTACTAATGTAGTTCACATGACAACTCATGTAAACTACATTAGTAGTTCATTTAAACAAGTCATGTAAACTACATTAGTAGTTCATTTGTACCGTAGGTTGTCCATACAAAGGATACAAAAAATGAGGGTTACTGAGCTCGTATTACTCTAAAATTTTAACTTACCTTCAATCTCTTTCACCGTCGACATTTTTAGGACTACCCTAAGCTGTCGCAGATCTACTACGTCCTGTTGGAGTGCCTGGCTCAGGACCACATGAGTTTCCTGTCGACGCTAGAGCCGCACGTGTTCCTCTACATCCTCTCGTCGATATCCGAAGGACTAACCGCTTTAGGTGGGAACCTAAATCATTTTACAGGTCTGTGCATGTCAGGGACACAGCGAAAGACGTCGATTTTTTATTTCGTATGCCGTAAAGGAATCAATGCAGTGCTCGCGTGGAGGATGATTTTAGTTTGGTGTTTATTGGAATCGCATGAGGATAATTTTGCATGTTTGGGGCCTGCATTGGTTTCGAGCTTTCATACGAGCAGAGCAGATCTGGTTTTGTTCTTGAAACGCTTTTGTTGTAGAACGTTTTACATTTGAGTCTGTTGCTGTTCTTGTCTCTGACTGTACATGAGATTGTGTAAACATTACAAGTAGGCGTGTTTTCTAAAATTTTTCTAATACCCTCGTTTATCAGTCGATTCATTCATCTCGTATTAACGGCTAAGACTATCTTTGGTAGGATCTGCTAACGTTCATGACCCGGAAACAATTTATCGTTACAATTCGAACGGTTTGAGGTCAAGAAAATTTTTGAATTAATCTCAAAACTTGCTACGTTATCATGAAAATTGAAGGAGGGACAACAAAATTCTTCATACCGCTGCCTATTTTTTTTTATAAGTGTGGCGACAGTGCCTCTTCGTATTATTACCTGTTCTGAATCTCTATTTTGTAGATACGATGGTGTGCACGGGTTGTTGCGCCACTCTGGACCACATAGTCACTTACCTGTTCAAGCAGCTGACGCAAAAAGGTGAGTTTAAGCGTGATCATAATCGGCTAAATCGTGCCTTTGTTATACTAGTCTGTCGAATGAACCAAATTGCAAATCTAATAATTATTTACTTCATTGTTCAGTTCACATTCATTCGATTTTCAAGGCAAGCGTTGCAGTTTGCAGTAAACAAGTCAGTACTTTGAAAATAACTTTACTTTAAACTACTTTATTTAAAGGAAATTTGTAGATTCAAAATGTATAATTAAGAAATTCCACTGAAACAACGCGACAAGGCAGTGGAATTTGCACTAGAGATTTAGCCGCCTTCCCCTTAACGGTAAAATCTCTTCACGTAATTTCTCCTCTGAACAGTCTATCCAGGCAAGGAGGCGCGGGTGGGCATGGCGCCGAGCAGCGACATGTTCCTCAAGGTGCTGGAGATGCACCCGGAGATCCTCCAGCAGATCCTCAGCACCGTCCTGAACGTGATAATGTTCGAGGACTGCAGGAACCAGTGGTCGATGTCGCGGCCCCTCCTCGGGTTGATCCTCCTCAACGAGGAGTACTTCAATCAGATGAGGGAGAACATCATCAGGAGTCAGCCGCCCGACAAGCAGGCGGCCATGGCGCAGTGGTTCGAGAACCTCATGGACGGCATCGAGCGGAATTTACTCACCAAAAATAGGGACAGGTAGGTTGAATTCCCCCTGTTGAAGAAAAATTTTGCGCTGACCTACGGTACAAATGAACTACTAATGTCGTGTAAACCACGTCAGTAGTTCATTTGTACAGTAGGTTGTCCATTTGTCTTAAGCTGAAATTGGCGTCATTGGTATCAGTATGAACTTGTTTTAACATTGTATAGAGTTGATGTTGAAGTAAAAATGCATTTCTAGGTTTACGCAGAACCTGTCGATGTTTAGGAGAGACATAAACGATTCCCTGAAAGGGCCCAATGTAAATACTTCGTCTGTTAGTGATATGATGACTTCATAGTGATTCGTAGAGCAGAAATTATGTGAGGTTAAGTGCTGTTGTATGTATTGTGAAATATAAAAATTTGATTGTTATTTAGGTACACTCTGCATTTATTTTAATTGGAAAATTGTGTTTTTAGCGAAAATGTGTACTTTTTGCTGATTGTGTGTACTGCAAGACTCGGAACGTTTGTTTTTTTTATAAGTTATTGAGGAAATAAATGCATTGATTATCTATGTACATTGTTTAGAAGTGCTGGTCAATTATAAATTCAGCCCGTCTGATTTATACACTTGGAGAATTGAGTAAGTCTGAAAGGGACACGTAATTATTAAAATTAAATAAATGCAATTTAATAAGAATTGGCGGTCTTTCATTCTCCGAAGTTTCAACGATACTCTGCCGATATCCGTTAATATTAAAAGAACTTTCGTTTTCTCAAGACTTTATTGCAACAAATTATAAATGTACAAATGGCGGATACGTTCTTAACAACAACGATAAATATCTTACAAATTATTATTGCTTGTGTAGACTAGAGTGAGCAAATCTGTTTGTACACTGTTCTTAACAAGAAAATTTGTATCAAAACTACATAAAACTAAACGTATACCGTAAATCTCTTTAACTATATTTTAAATTAAATATAAGAACCTAAAACCACAAATTATAATTTTTTTTAATGCAAAAATAATTTCCGTGAACAATATGCACTCAACATATCACAAAAGTAATTAAAATCCTACGATTTGCTTCTGATATCACCACCCCAACCACGGCGGTTGGTTCATCTTGTGCACGGGCGTAAAAGTCAAATTCACAGGTAAGTTTATTATAGCATAGTTCCTCTTAAGTTTTTCCAGCGTTTTTAGGATCATTAAACCGTTCTTTCCCATCAAATAAGCGGCGGGTATGTTCACTTCTTCACTGGAATTATCGTCGATCATTTCTATGAAATAATCCTCACTTGAATGATCGATATCACTGATTATCACCGCTTTCGCCCCTGCTTTTTCAGCGATCACACACTTCGTTTTAAACGAACATTCCCTGCAATTACATATTTTTTCAACAAATCCACGATTAATTTAAAACATCTTACCCCCTTTCTATAAAAGCTACATTTCCTTCTACGTCGTCCAAGTTGTCCGGCGGTTTACACCCGTATCTAGGACTCACTGGCACTAGCGGCACATTTTTCACATGAAATGACTCGTTCTAGAATAAAAACAAACTGTACATGTAACAGAAACCACCGGTACACTTTACTTACAAAAGGAGCCCCAAAATCTTTCGCTGGTCGAATCCTATAAGTGTATTCCAACTCCGCAGGGTCTACTATTTCAAAAAATATGTCCCCATTTATAACTTCCGCTGTCGAAGTGCCGTCCATTAAATGAAGAGTATTTGCTAAAAAAACATAACCTTTAATATGCTGGCTTTAATAAAATGTGAAACTTACCTCCGCAGTGTGTTAAAACTACACAGGAACATACATTTAATACGTATAATATAATTGAACGAAAAATATCTTCCGGTTGCTTCTTCATGACAGTTTTAACCTACTAAAACGTAAATATGAGGTTATATTAGTGTTTATTTCATACTTGTTAATAGAAAACTTGTTTCTTTTATGGTGTATTATGTAATCTTACAATCTGGTTGAGATTAAGTAAGAATAAGATTAAATACTACATAAGATTAATATACACCTGTATAAAAAATTTATCACCAAATTTCACTAGTAGATAATTACTAGTATCCTCTGTCTGTATCTTATCAATTATTGGTTAATTCAATTATTTTTACCTATAAATTATTCCATGAGATTTACATATTTTCTAGAAATATTTGCCAGTTTTTTCTAGAACTTTTTTCCAGCAAGTTGTCAAAATTTTAAGGTTAAGTACGTAAGTGTTTTGCAACTGTACCAAATGCCAAATAAATTTAACCTAGATAAAACTTACAAACGGTCTTTTGCTTAATAAATGTTTAACAAAGCAAATATAACTGTCTGTTGAGGAAAAGTGATATTGATAATGGAAGAGGAGCCAGTTGAACAGGCTGATAATGAAGAAATAAAATCAACTGCAATAGTAAAATATTCTTTACCGAAACCAGCTCAGTTTATGAAATTACAATGTAACACTGATCTAAATTTGCCTCCCTCAAATTGGTTGAGCAGCTCAGCAGACTCTTACGGCTTACAACATGTCCTATCACATTCAAAAGGTTTCTCGAGGTAAGCTAAAAACAACTCGATTATCGACAAAATCTAAAACTTTGTTTAGTTTTAAGATGGCTCATATGTTCCCCGACTGCGTAGGAGAAGTTGATGTGGTGTCTGATTCGGAGAACATAAAAAAATTGCTGAAAATACCCTATTATAAGGGACACATCAGCATGATGGTACATAGAATAGAAAACACCCTTCTTCTCGACGACTTTGATATCTACAAACACCTGCTTAAAACGGCTGAGACTGAGTGGGAATGGCTGAGGAAATTTTTCTTTGAAAATATTAATAGGGCCACTTGTGAAGAGGATAAGAATCTGTACATTAAAAGTCGTAGACGGGAGGCTTTGAGGGAGAAAAGTTTGGTTTCCAAATTCTTATATCATAGTCTAGTTGAGAGTGATCTTACAGAAACTAATGATTTGGTAGAAGGTTGCAGTTCCCTACCCAATGAACACCCGCTATTACCTGAACCTTCTCCTTCTACAGAGTGCCCCGATCCACCTTCTTCCGATCATAAATACACCAGAAATGTAGTCTGGACATTTGAAGACATAGAAATGTTAATCGGTGAGTATTTTTTTTACACGTCAAATCTTTTTTTAATTATTCCTCTCTAGGTACTGATATGCCAATCTTTGGTGGTGGTACTCATCCGTGTATTTCCCTCCGTTTGCGGGACATGAGCAAACCAATCAATGTCTTAACGGGCATAGATTATTGGTTGGACAATCTAATGTCGAACGTCCCAGAAGTGGTTATGTGCTACCACCTTAATGGAATCGTGCAAAAATATGAACTCGTCAAAACAGAAGACTTGCCGAGGCTGGACAATTCCAAATTTTCCCCGAAATTAATCAGAGATGTCGCTCAGAGCATACTGAGTTTCCTAAAGTCAAACGCTACTAAAGCCGGACATACGTATTGGCTTTTCAAAGGCAAGGATGAAGAGGTAGTAAAATTATATGATTTAACAAGTCTTTGTTCTGAAAAAGACGTTGATAACGAACAAAACCCGTTCACAATACCCGTGGCGATGTTACTGTATCGTGTAGCGAGGAATATGAAACATTCCACCGACCGTATACAACCAGGGACAATAAGGATGTTGTTAAAGAACTGTTTAAAACTTTTACCCGAAGAAAAGTATCCGGAAATAGTGACTTCTTCGTTATATATGCTGTCTGATCTGTACGTCCCGGCAAATACCAATCCCGAGTCGCCCGGCTTAGACGAACAGGAGCAAGACGAGGATTCCGAGTCTATATACGACGACGACTTATCGGAAATCGACCGCAAAGATCAAGCCACAAAAATACTCGTACTTAATAACGGCAGTATGGAAAAGTTTAAGAATTACTACAAGCCGCCACCACCAATAGTAGGGGGAGTGGAAGAGAGATGTCTACAAGCCCTACAACATGTAGCGGCCGGCTTGAATTGCCTCAAATATTTTCCGAAGCAAGATCCAGAAAGTGGGGAAAGGAAGGAAGAGGAAGAAGAGGTTAAAATGGCGAAACCGTTCGAACCTATCCCGATGCCATACGCGAAACTAAACGAAGAGAAACCCACACAGGAACCCAGCAAAAAGAACAAGAAGAAGGACCGTAAGAAAAAGACTGAGAAAGAAAAGGTGCAAGATAACACAGCAGAAAATAAAACAGCTCTATTATTGAAGAACAAAAACGAGGCACAACCTTTACCGACGTGGCGGGAGAGTAACCATAAGATCTCCTGGAAAGACCACCTGAAAACGCTCCTCTATGAGAAAGCCGTACTAGTCTACGCCACGCTATCAGAATACCATTTCGTTTGCAGCAACTACGGCTCTTGCTTGAGGACCATCGGATTGTTAGCCAGATGCCAGTTGGTGATGAATAAATTGCAGTACACTTCCAATGCCTTGCGAGAGAATTGTCTGCTAGGCCGTGCCGGAGACTGCTGCATCATGATGGTTCAAACGTGGAGCAAATCAGAGATATATTGCCAGCAACTACACAGCAATCCAGACGAAGACCTCAAGATGATGGAACAGCTCGAACAAGACGAACAATTTTACAAAATCGACATAGGCGAGAGCAATACCAGGTGCGTCTTCATCTACGACATCCGCACTATCGAACAGATCCTGCTGAAAGCCATCGAATGTTACGAAGAAGCATGGAAGCTGTCCGAGACCGACAACATACTGCGGAGATTGGGGAATAGCTTGAACGAAGTCGCTTCCTACTACCTGAATATGGCCAAGATGTCCAAGAAAGAAGAAGACATCATATTGATCTGTAAAAAGTCTGAGCCCTACCTTACTCGTGGCTTGGAGATATTCGAGAAAGTGAAGGACGACGCTAATATAGCGTTGCTGTACACCAACACGGGGCATCTGCATAGGTTGCTGGCCCACGCGAATACCCCGACGGAGAGGGGGGAGCTTACGCCTCTCGAAAAGTTGCATTACAACAAGGCGTTCATCAATTACAAGAAGGCGTTGCAGGTTTTAGGGGATAGGAAGCACTGTCCGGGTATATGGGACGCCGTCAAGTGGGAGCTCTCCACTGCTTTGTTTAATATGGGCTCGATCATGCACGAAAATCCACCCTCGTATTTGGTAAGTCTTTCTCTTTGTATATTATGTGTGTTTCTGTCGATATTTGAATTTCATAACAAATTATTTATGCAGTTTTTATATTTTTTGCAATGTTACCAGTATAGGAATCAGGAATATTCTTTTTTTAACTCAATTAAATCAATTAAACTCTTGACTACGCCGTTACTGGGCAGCCCCCGATTAGTATTATTATTTAAATATACTTTAAAATACTGGGCATTCAATTTCAAGCCTTGGAAATTTCAGAGCAAAACAGAGGCAGAAAAAGAAGTGATAGAAACTCTGCAAAAGGCCCTCCAATACTGCGACTTAGACGAAAACAATCCAAAATATCCTTTGTATCAGTACAGAGCAGCTATAATACACTACCGCATAGGTACTCTGTACCACAGCCACATTTGGTCGACTCCCAACGATTCCAGTAATAGAAAGAACATTATACAATTGGCGAAAATAAACTACGAAAAGGCCGCCAAACTCTACTTCCAAAGTTCCGATCCTGTTAACTATTTCACCGCGCAGATGCAGAGGTTTGTGCTGTCTGAATATTTAACAGAAAGTAAGTGTTGTAATAATTGCCCAAGTATCGAGACGTTGCTGTAGTCATCGCACAGTTCTTTTTAATATAATTTCTCCTTTTCAGCGACAAATGTTTTAAACACGAAGATAAAGCACCTCCAGCATTGTCTGGAAATAGTGTTAGAGCTGGAAGAGATGATAAATCTTCTGATTGAAAAGAAAGTAGAAGTTCTCGATGACAACGAGAATACCGAGGAAGAGAGCGACAACAAAAAGACCTACAAAACGTGTTTTTCCTTATTGAAACTTGTGAAACGTCGTTTGCAGCACATCTTGAAAACCCTGATCAAAATTTGTCTAACGAAGCCCCCACCTAATAAAGACTGCGGTAAATTGGCAGAGTTGTACAAAGCGTGTTACAAGAAGTCGTTTGAGTTAAAAGATGATTTGGATTATAATAGTTTGCTGGAAAAGTTGGGAAAAGTACTGAAAGCGATTAGAGAAGAACTTGAATCTTTTAATACTTAATAGCTTATTTTTTAGGTTTAGGAATTAATTTATTTTAAATAACGAGCGCATTTAGCTTTCATCTGATTTTTTATGTACATTATGTTTTCTTGTTTGTTTCTTTTCAGCGTTGTAAAGTTGCATTATACTCTACTGTGATAAATAAAGAAATAATTGATCATCTATATACAAATTGTTCTTGTTTACTTAAATTAATACGTCGCTACGAAACAATTAAAATTTCGCCGTGCAAATTATTACTCAGTTCCCTTTTTAGAGCGGGATCTCGAAACGCTAATGTGAAATTAGAATGCATCATCGCTTCAAGGCCGATATCCTCTTTAGTATTAATATCGTATTGTGGCACCTCTACTTAGCATTATTAGTATTTAATAGATCATCAGGAAATAACAGTTTAATCATAGACATTCCAAAGGAGGAATTACATCATTAAAATGGTGTGTTTTACATACTAATGATGATAGAGAGGATAATGGATATTCAGGGAAAACCTTTAAATATATGCGGATGCCATAATTTTCATTCAGTTCTTGCCTTGGTACGCATCATTTTGGACGTGAATATGTGTTCTCGAAGTGTCTTGTTCGTGGTAAGTAGTAAGTAAAACCACATATGTAGTTTTTTTGTGAATATTATATAATCACTTGAGATCCTAGTACAAAAAAACATTTTAAAATTAACATACAATATTTCGTACACAATTATTCTACAAATTGTATTCATTAAATAGTTAAATGGAAATTATACCATTTGCATTGTGATGTAGGATCCGTTTACAAAAAGCTAACAAAGTTTATTTATTATTTATTCTACTAATCCTAGCTTTTTCTCACCATGGCATGTGCCACGATGATACTGGGAGCCCCAGCACCAATTCCTGGTCCACGCCCTCAATGGGCATTGGGTTATTCTTATCCTTACTACGGTAGTTACTACTACCCTTCTTATGGTAAGTCGACAATAATATTGTCGTAAGCATTTATGCGATATATTAATATGTTGATGGGTGTTTCAAATTCAATGAGTTATTGCAGAAAAAAAATTTAAACATGTTACTAGGTTTTACTTACGTATTCATAAATTTATTAAATTTTTGCAGAAATATTATTTTACCTTTCTTTTTTTAGGTTACGCATACTCCTCACCTTATGTTCTTCTCTAAGAAGTATGGAAGATGTGTTTCCAATTTACAAGTTTCGATATCATACTTGTCTGTAAATTTATGTATTGTTTAACTTTATATGTACTTTGAGGTATTAAGATATTATGTTGTAAAAAAAATAAACTCTTAATTCAGTCTTTACGTTATTATAACTTTAAAATAAGCAAAACCTAATTAAAAAGAAAAACTAAGAACGTTGGGAGGTTAAAACTAACCATAAAATCAAATGTCAAAATTTCTGAGAAATTTACAAATTTAGTGTGTTTTTAGCAGGGCTGCCAACCAAACCGTTTTTAGTTTGACTTTCTTTAAAAGTTTGTTTAAAATTAGCTCTTCAAAAAACTTTTTCAGTTTAATCCGTCACAAATGTAAAGGAAAAGTAAAAGACATCATTTTGATTTTTTGTGTGAGTGCTACATCTTGTTTTAGGCTGTAACAGGTAAGATGAACTCAAAATGGCTTCTTTACTGTGGAATTTTTTATAATTATTTCCTGACAGTAGGCTAAAAAGTTATTTTATTCAAAAAAATGTCAAATGAGGCTTGCGTACTGGGTTCTCACGATATATTTAATTATATTTGCGACAATATATATAATACTAGTTTGTGTTCTTTATTATTTATATCAAATGGATGTGCCCAGTGAATTGTGAATTTTTTTATAAAGTTGGTTGTGTAGGCAACAAAACAATTTCCAATCAGTTTGTTTGATTTTTATCTTTGTAGTTTTTGGTGGGTGGAAACTCAAAAGGCTGATCAAATTTTGTGAATAAATGATCTAAGGTAATGCTCAACTTTATAACTTATTATCACAAATTGACCTTTAAATTTTCTAGTGTTTTGGATAGACAGTAGAAAAGTTAATACTTGTCCACGGTTTCGAGAGAGTCAAAATTACAAAAGGGAATGGAGATTTTTTGTAAGTACATTTCCCCTTGTCAAAGTCACAGCTATGTTTTATATTGATGTCAATTGACAATATTTTTAATCGTAAAAGAAACAAACTTGATCATTAAATGATGTCTTTATTTAAATATAACTACAATTACATTCATAACAGAGTAAAAAAATATGTAAAAATTTGAATTTTATATTGGACGGAGAACATATAACAACAATAAACCATTTATGGTTAAATTAAAGTTGATTAGAAAGTAACAGTTTTGTGCTAGATCCTTCTCTTTCTTCGTACTGGCTACCTTATAAAAGTCATGTAAAAATAAACTAGCATGATTCATATGAATTAATAATTATCTACGACTAAGTTGTACAACAATGTTATATTTTTCATTATTTGGAATTAAGAATGAACACACTGCTAAGTATATACACAGATTTTTGTACACATCAGTAATAAGTAACTACTGGAAAATAAGAATTTAAAATAAAATTGCATCTCGGCCTTTGAAACAATATAAAAAATATACATCTAGACTTAACAACCATTGTTTAGAGTTAATTACGAATTATAAAAATAAACGATTAACAAAATATTTTCGACTCTTGTCAAAATAGTTAAAAAAAAACATATAAAAAATAAGTAAATTACATATAAAATAGTACATTTTTGGACGGTTTGTAAAACATATAGAGTATTCAAGGCACTAATTCTTTGTCAAGGCCTTGCACATCAGATCTAACAGTTACAAACAAAAAAAGAGATTTATCTAGGACCGTAAATCCCAAAACAAACAAAGACCAAAATAATCGTCATCCATATACTAGCCTGTACGCTGCTGGCACCGGCCAAGCGGCATTTGAACATGTCGAAACGGGTTTCGTTGTTGTCAACTAGGTTGCTGAATTCCGCCTCGACCAGTTGACCATCGTAGTAGGTGATAGGGTCCTCGAACGGGTATTCGAAGCCTTGCTTGCACTCGCATTTATACCCGCCCGTCTCGAAACCTCTACCGAGGATAGGAACGCACTGAAAAGGAAGTGTGTATATAGTTTTTGTTTTAACGACGGAATTATATATATAACTTACGTATGACGTTTTCTGGTCACACTTGTTTGTATTCTTGAAAGCATTGGCTACGTAGTAATCGTCAGGGCACTGATTAATGTCCAGTTTTAGTAAGTCCATCGTTACTGCTACTACACCCCTGAAAAAATACAAAATTATCAGGGAATTTCATGGATAGCGGAAATGTCACTTACTTGAATTTAAGCTTTACTTTGAGGCTGTCCCACCCGAAGAACGGGGCCACGTACTTCACCTTCCACATGGGGACTTTGCCGTGGCAGTCGAAATATGGAGCCGTCCAATGCCCGTGCTCCAACTTCGCCCCGTAGTAATAATTGGGGTATCGTTCGTATTTCTTCATATTCTCACCCGTCTCATTAAACCTGATCTTTATTTTCATCCAGAACTTTTCCAAGTTGTCAAAATTGGACGCCCACCGGTATTTCAAGAACTTGAACCACGGTTTGTTTAAATACACCTCTTCGGATTTGTTCAGCCTCGCCAGATCTTCCACGTGGAAAGTCCTCGTGTTGAGAATCCTCTTGTAAGCGTAGGGGGCAAACAAGGTTCTATTCGTAAATTTGTTCCGTTCCCAGTAAGTGCCCGCCGACCAAATCTTACTGTTGCCCAAGACCAAAGCCAAGGTCTCTCCGATCATTTGATCCTCCGTGAGTGGTTTGTCTGCCACCCTCTTTCCGGAATAAACTTCCTTAGGATCGGAGACTTGTAGGAAGGCGCTTATAAAGTTGGCCAATCTCAAGGCCATTTTGGCTTCGTTCTCGAAGAATTCTTCGGCTCCGTACATAACGCCCCCGTGCAGCCTTAGTTCCTCGGGTTTGTAGTGTATGCAGTTGTTTTTGTTCATGCCCAGGATGAAGTCGAGAGTGCGGTGGATGTTGAGTTTGTGTTGGTTGAAGTTTGCCGGCCCGGTGGTTTGATTTAGGTATTCCCGGTATCGGTCCAAGTACATGTTCCGTAGGTAAGGCGGGGCTTTCTCCCATTGCACGGGCAGTTTCTGGATCCCTGCATTGAAACATTAATAGATAAATTTGACACACAAAAACTACAAAATTCTTTACTCCCCTTACTTCAAAATCTGATTAAACGTTCATTTTTATTTAATAAATGTATTTGCATTAACTAAATTGTATTTAAAAGAAATTGGAAGCGACTGATTCTGCCGCTAATTACATTTTTTCTCAGACTTACATCCGATTTTCAAACAATCGAATCCGTTGTAGTATTGTTCGGCTGTGGCCCGTTCGACGAGCTCCCCTAAAAACGGCCTCCTCGTTTGTAACGGCAACCTAAAACCAGGCCTACACCGACACTGATAGGCTCCTCGACGAAAGCCCCAACCGTGCAGCGGTTCGCACTAAAAAAACGACGAATAAGTATACGTTTCGTTTTTAAAACTTGCCTCGTTACCTCGGTAGTCTCCTTCTTACACCTAGCCGTGTCGGAAAAGATATTGGGGCCGTTATTTCCCATTCCCGGCGGGCACTGGTTTATGTCTATCCGCTCAAAGTCCATCTCTACCACAGCTGCAGCAGTATACCTGCAATATTCCGCTTTATTTACTATTTTACAAGTTCCGTTAAAAAATTTAAATAACTAGTCCCAAGTTCAAGGTTTTGTTATGTTTCCATTCATGAGTTTTTTTATGAAAGGGACGAGTTGTGTCCCTTCATCAGGCCACATCAGGTAGAAAGATTAACAGTCATGTAATTTAGATGTTATGTCTCTCTTGCCCTTTGAAATTTTATTATTAATGGGCATCCCAAATGGAAAACGGGGTTCTGTTAATTACTTTATCATGAGGGTTGTTAACCTTCTGTGAATCATTATAGGGGCTAGCCAAAATGTAATTAAAATAATAGCTTATTTATTTACGGGCATGGTCAAAGGATAAGAGTAAAAGGGTAATAAAAAATAAATTAGCAAATAATTAACTTTGTACAATGTCTACCTTATCCTAATTCAAAATAATGATACTTTGAATATTTGTTATATAAAAATAAAATGTTTAAATCAAATACACTGAAGTTTTTTAGTGAAATATAAATTTGAATATCCAAAACCAAGTACTATTAACATACAATATTTAATTTTTAGCACAAGACAGTTTCTATTTGTTTTTACAATTATACAAATGTACTGTTTTATGTAAAGTATGTGTAAACGGCTCCTTTTTTACTAGATTAAATGTTTGCAACGGAAATTTTGTCCAACGGTCAGTTGTGAGTAACCGGTTCATATTTTTGTGACCTGGACAGCGTGTGACTAAATATTTCACCAAAACTCAACGACTGAATCAACGTTACAAAATAATAACAAAAATCATGTAAATATCTCTTGAGCTGTAATTAATGCTTTTTAATTAATTTGTGGATAATGTGATCAGCTAAATTTTGCATTTATTTTAAAAGTCCTAGTGATATGCAGCAAGGACACATTTTTTTAAAGCCATACTCTATCATGGTAGTAAAAACAGTTTGAAATATCTTGGAAGAAAAAAAAAACTTGGTTTCAAATTATGTATTAATAAAAGCTGTATACCAAATATGAATATCGTCACCCATCTTCTTAGAATTAAAATAAAACAATTTTTTTCTAACGTTTACCACCGTTTCTAAAAAATTAAACGTTTACAAGAACCCACCATTGAAGCTTGGTCAAACAAATGTGCTACACTCTGTATGGAACTTACGATTTGAAATTCTTCTTTTCAAAAATTAGAACTATAAAATTATCATTAATTAATTAATTTAAAAGTGGCTTTTATTAGTGAAACTGTATTTCAATCTGAATTATTGTCAGTAAAAAAAATCTACGACAATTTGCCCTTGAATTTGCCACATGAACGATCGATAATTAAACAAATTCGCGCAATCAAACATTATGAATATTTTATGCGACTTATACTCACGTAGGGTACTCTATATGCCTAAACCCTGTGTGCCTCGGATAAATATCAGCGATGGGTACCACGGCAGCTACCAGCCATCGGTTCGACCTTCCGCAATCGAAGTAGGGCCTCGTCCACATAACGGGTCCAGGAATTTCGTCGGCTCCTGGCGGCCCGTGAAAGGTAAACGTTTCATTTGTATTGTTGGCGTACCTAATCTCCACCTGATACGTAGTTTTCGTATCGTGCCTCCTGTCTACGTGATCAGGCAACCACTTCTTGTACCATTCGTTTATCCGATAGTAATCTGACGTGTAATCGCTGCTGGTATCGGGCGGTACAGCCCCCAGATCGTGAACTGTGAACGTATTGAGAGTGGAGATTCTTTCCAAATGGATCGGATCGTTGAAATCGTCAGCTCTGAAGGTTCTCGGTGCGAACAAGGGAAAAGTCTTGTTGAAGAACCCTCGGTAGGAGCTGGAGTACGACATGTTGGGGGAGAAGTAGATCGCACTAGCGTTTATGTGCTTGTTGGTCGATACGTCGGCCACCGTGGACAGGAAGTAGTACATCATGCCGGGGTCGTAGGTATCGTTGATGGCCGGACGGATGAACCTGCTCTGCAAGATGTAGGACCAGAAGAAGGCCCTGTTCAGTGCCATGTTGTGCAGGTGCAGTAGCTGCGTTCTGTTTGGGAACACCGGGTTGATGTTGACATCTTTGATATCTGGCAGATGCGATACCGAGGCGTCGGGGAGGTAGAGGTCCCCCAGGTGCTGAATTTCGCAATTGTCTTTGTTAACGGCCTTCATGGCGCGCGACACCTCGTCGAAGGGATCCCTGTCCTGCCATTCGTACTGGCCGATGACGACCACCGACAGTAAACAAACTAACACGACGCACACGCTGTACATCTCGAAGTCTTTATTTCGCACTGTACTCGCTGGAAGGTATCACAGGGCCATTTTGTGGCAGTTTCTGGGTTTGTTTTCCACTGTGACCGTTAATAATTCTTAGGTTACGGATCGTGTCGGACCCAACCCACCAAACAATGCAGGTACAGTCATCGTTTTAGACTTTCCCCCCTTGCGTCCCTCGCTCGTTTTCATTAAGTGGTTGGTTGGATGGTGTGGTGGGAGACGCGTGAGTTCACCTGTGTAGGCGATGATCTTTAACAATTTTCCAACAAGTGGTCACGGAACTGTCAGTTAACAGAATAGTGTTGTGATGCAGGCAACCAGATGTACACCGTTTTGCATATTTTACGCCTAGTGGGTCACATATATAACTTCTACGCCTATGGTTTTTTTTTTGCAAACTACAAATGTAACTATTCAACTTTACTACAAAAATAACTTTTATGCATTTACCATGGAGTGGTACGTTTTGAATGGACGCTCAGATTTTCTAAAAAATATGTTTAAAAGTGAATTATTTTGTTCTGTACCTAGGAATGAACGGATATAGAAAATAATATGGCAGTGGCGCACCCAGGGAAGACGTTTGTTTTAATTTATTTCAAAGTATTTCAACTTCTTGAAAAATTAAATTGTTACACACATACAAGAGGGAAATTCACACAAAACTTTTTCTGGGAGTGTGCCAATATACAGAGCGCTTTTTAAATCATGTCGCAACTTCGTGAGGTTGCTTCTTGAATCGATTTACACAAATTGAGCTAATTATCTAATTAAAAGCAAAAAATTCACCGACTTTGTTTGCAAATCTGTTAACCGCATATATATTGTTTTAATTCCTAATCGTATCTTTAAATATGAGTTTCAATTTGCAAAACTAGGCATTTTCGAATAAAATTGAAATGTTAAAAATCATGAAAACAAAGTTCAAAAGTATGTATCATTAATTTCGAATGCTTTTTGGGAGTTTTGCCATTAGATAATTGTTGGCAGGTTGTTTTAAATTTATTTAATTGTGTGATAAGGATATTATTAAAACTTTAAAAAATTATAATCGGATATTGTCTTGATTTTCTTTTAATATAACGATTTTCTTATCTAAAAGTAATGTTATATTCTGCGTACATTGATTTTTGGAACCAAAGAAATGTTTTTGTTTTATTTGAATTAACTTAACATAAAACAGAATAAAAGTTATTGTTTTAAACAGATTTTAACATCGAAAAGCAGCCTACGCCTATGACGAGTACATGCGTCAGCAAAAGCCCCCTCGCAACTCGTAAGAACAAATTGCCACAGACGGTGGCGGCCTAAAACAAAAAGTAGGAAGTATTTTTGATGTCCCATCATTCTATTAAAAACACGCCACACCGTACACACGCCTCCCTGCGTTCGCGGGAGGATGTTGCGATCGCGCGAGGTTTGCGTAAAAAACAAGACACTTTTACGTCTTCTGCGCCTCCTTAGCAACAAGCAACAACAGCCGCGCCTGCCAGGGGTTCCCTACGGCCGTACGGGGGGGCCGTGGGGGAACCGACGCGTTTGAGTTTAGTGTAAGTGAGCAGCTTGCGACGATAAATAAAAAAAATAGTTTTGGACAGAAATTCTTACTTTAAACTCGGAATTTCGACTTCAAATTCGGAATCCCAAGCTTTATGTAGGAATTCCGTAAAAAAATTGTCACCCCAACAAGTTTTTATTTTTGTATTTAAGACTAAAAGTTTTACGAAAAAAAAACGCAAAATTTCTGCGCTAGTGATTTTTTTCTCGAATTTCAACCGAATTCTCATCACCTCGTAGCTGAGCCGAGTTAATTCGGAAAAACCAAATTGTGTCGAGTCGGAGGTCGGTCGTGGAAAACGTATCTATCGTCGGTTTTCGGGTCGTTAGTCAGCGCATCTAAAAATAGTCGGCGCTGGCACGGAGCTCATTGCATAGAGATTGCATTTTGCATTTTTGTTTTTTGCGAAACGTCAACGCACACGTGACGATCAGAGAGCCGACTCCGCGCGACCGGTCTACTACGGTCCTTGCGCGAGGAGGAGAGAGTGTCTAGTCAAACGACGACGACGCTATAAAAGTTATGAAGTTCGTTAAAGGTGAATGCACTGAACAAAGAAAACGTACTACATGACTAATGGCAGTGGCGTAACAGCGACACGGTTATGCAAGCACGGGCGTAGCGTCCTCGTTAAGGAAATATGTCTCATTCGATATTTGAAGGATGTGTTTATTTAACATTAATTTTTTTTTTTTTCGAAAACGGCCATAAAATTTTGACATTTTAATTCTGTTTCCCAAACGCAAAAAAACAAGAATTCAAGAACAAAAGACTATTTTTTATACAGCTGTTACTTATTAATATAATTGGATAAATTGAAATGAATTGTTCTCTTACAAACATTAAAATAATCTCAGTTATAGCGTAAATATAGCGATCAGAACAAAATCACTGGATTTGTCAAGTTTCTATGATTATACCTAGATTGTTCCCCGGCATGTCAGGCCGACAGGTTGCCGCTTATACGTACCGAATAAATTGATCGATGCGAAGCGTCAGATCAGGGGTAGACATGTACATGTTGTACTTATGTTGTACTTATTATTACGTATTATACCATATATTTTATGAAGCGTTTAGTGTGGAAAAATAGACACTGCCCCTTTTTTGTTTCATATTATTATGCAAATGTTTACATATACTGGGTGATTCACAAATGGTGACCAAAAATGAAACCTCGTATTTTGTAATGAATTTTAAGAGCAGTCTTTCCTTTAAAGTTTTTATCTAGGACGCTTCGTTGAAAGAAGGTGTTAACTTCAAAAAATATTTTTTAAGTTTTACTCGAAAATCAGGCTTTTTTCGAAAAACATAAGAGAGTAGAAATTTATAAAAATTGAAAGACGAATCCGAAAAATATCATGGTTGTTACCGTAAAGCAATGACGTACTATTTTATTTAGATAAATGTGCCACACTGTATCTCCGCCACTGTTCCCAATTTCAAATTATTTCACTTACTAGTTTTTAATTTATTTAAAAAAATTAAAAATATTTTTTAAAGTTGTATCACCCTGTATCTTTTTAACGAAGCATCCTAGATAAAAACTTCGTAGGAAAGACTCCCCTTAAAATTCACCAAAGAATACGAGGTTTCATTTTTGGTCACCATTTGTGAATCACCCTGTATACATTGATGGAAATTTCCTAGCTTCAATAACGTGACAAACGATAATAAAACCGGTTCTAATTTATTGGCAGCGACTTTTAATGTTTATTTCCCTTTTCTTACAATTTTAACATATCGCCAAAAAAAAAAATTGGAAAGAAATACTTGTACACTTTTCATTTAGGGCAAACTTGAAATTCACGAAAAATGACCATGTCCCCTTTTGTCCCCTTTTGAATTTCGCAATTAAATTTGACTATTGTGTTATTCTTTGACCATCTGACTCTTACCTGCTGTTCTGCTGCGAGTGAATTAATATTTATTTTACATCTGTTTAAAAAAAAATATAGTATGTGTAACATACCTATATGTGAATTCTAAAAAATATAGTCATAAAAAACTATAAAATAAGGTTAATGAATAATGTAATTACCTTTTTGTTTGTTATGTTTCAAATGAATTATTTAAAACAATGTTTAAAGTGAGAAAAAATAATTATGCTTTTCCTGAAAGCTGTGTTTGTCTTTGCTGCTGTTGGAAGAATTTTCCAATGCGGAAACTCAAAAGTTACGACATTTTACGCGAAATGAATCTCATTGTCACCCTAACTCTAAACCCTAAAGCAAATATGTGCAAATATAAAGCTGTTTTATGTTGGTGAAAAAATATAGTACTTTTGAAAGTAATCGTCAAAGATATTACCATTTTAAAACAATTTAAAATTATCAACATCCGTATTAACCTACCACCACAAATTATTGGCACTGTATTTATACGTTTTTTAAATTATCTCTCCCAATGTATGTCAGTGTTACTAGTATAAAATAGGAAATAGCAAGTTAAATCCAGGTTATTACAAACAAATGATTGGGTACGTTATTTAATTCATATGTGATATTTAAAACCAATATTGTCAAGCACTAAAATATTAAATGCATAGTAAAAATAACAGTTTCCAATTAATTGATGTCAATTGTCCAGAATATCTGACAGCAGGTTGCATCTACGTATTGCAATGATTGCATACTTGGCGTCTGTTATTTATATACTGAGCAAATAAAATAAAATTACCCACCAAATTACTTGTTAAAATTTATACATTAAATTATTTTACGTTCAATTACAAGCCTTGTCCTGTATCCGTAATACCAGTAGCAATGCTTGCTACGCCACTGCCTGTCGAGTAGCGCGCATTTGTTATACTATACCAGGCGTCTCTGCCCTGATTAAAGCACACGAACTACGCGTATAGAAAAAAAAATTGTGCTGTAACATTAGTAACGTGAATTTGTATGAATAACTACTGCAAACTGCAAGCTCGTTAATATGGCACTCGGCTTCACAATTTTTGGCCAGAACATGCAACTAAATTTAATTGCTGGCACAGAACGCCAGATCATTCTAATTTCTTGGTTTTGCCCTTCTGCGATGTGACCATTCCTTGGCCGGGTTAATTGTAATATTATGAAGTTTGTTTATTAGTCGGTGACTCACGGATAGAGACTTTGCCATCAGAGAAATTCGTTCGACCAGTGCCGTATTCCGGAAGGTCTTAATTGATGAATCTTGTTTATTAGTCACGCGTGTAGTTAAGGGAAAATAAATCAAAATGAAAATATTATTCGATTCTCCTGCAGTTGATACGATAGGGAGTCACCGTGAAGGGTTGAGTCCACGAGCAGAACTCGAGGGATAGAAAAAAATGCCCCTGTCGCCTTGCTTTTTTAGTTGTGTGGGCAGATGGTTTTTGTAACATTAGAGGGGTTTTAAAAAGGGTTGGCACAATGCCGCCGCACAGGTTGTATTATGAAGTAATTCAATGCAAACAGTTTTTTGTTGTTATTTTTAAACCCCCCTTAAAAAAATACATGGCGATTATTAAAGTGTTGCTATTAGAATACACATGCCTTAAAGGACAGTTAAAACAAATTTGCGAAAATAGGAAGTCCCCAAATATTTTTGCAATATCAAAATTTGCTATTGCTTTATCTCTGTATTTATGTCAAAATATGGCTAAAGTTATGTACAATTTAATTAATTAAGGTTT